ACAAGCCACACGCATCAATATTCTGGCAGTGTGATCTGCTGAAAACATGAAGTATCAGAAATATAAAAATAGGATGAGCACGTGTTTGACTCCCCATGCTAACAATACATGTTCATATTAACAAAAAAACCCAAAAAACAAGAAGATCATAGAATCATAGAATCGTAGAATCACCAAGGTTAGAAAAGACCTAAAAGATCATCCAGTCCATCCGATGTTGGACTGTTTTGTTGTCCAAAGCCTTCCTGTTTCTTCTTTCTCCAAGCAGCTTTCCTCAGAGGTCCCTGACGTGCACACTTTGTTTGGTCACGGTGGGTACGAAGTCACACCAGTTGTGTTGGTGCTTTGCTGCACTGAAATATTTTCCAGGTTTGTTTGTTAGGTTGTTCTGGAATTAGAAGAACACAGTTTTGTTTCTGAGCCAGAGCCGTGAGTAACCACACGGGTGACTGTTATTTTGCACTGATGTACATGAAATCACCTTTCTTCAGGAGCCAGCTTTGGCTTGGTGCAGTGTTTATTCAGCCCCTTTAAAAGCTGATGTGAAGGTGAGCAGAATTCTGCATTTCCTGCTCCAGCACCGTCGCGTAAGGGGCAGGGTTCTCCCAGAAGAGAGAATTTAAAGAAAATTACTGAGGACAACGGTGTAGAATGGAGGACAGCAGGAAGCTCCTCCGGAAGGAGAATCTCACCCCTGTCTTCCTGCACCAAGGAGGTTTAGCCAACGGGTACGACTTTGAGCACTAAAACACCCCAAATCAGCATCCTGTAGTGACACAGGAGGTTCTGGGCTTGCTCTGGCTTTATGTGTGCAGGTGGGGGTGTTGATCTGTGTCCCTCCAGATAACATCATGCAGAGTGCAGTGCTAGCCCAGTGCTTGCTCTCCCCTTGCTCCAGGTGCTGCTCAGACCACGGTGGGGACCAAAGTGCTCTCTGGGTGCAGCACCCCCAGCTCCTTGCTGGCACGCGGCTCAACAGCGTGCAGGGAGGAATGGTGGGGAAGCCAGCATTGCTGATCAGTTTTGCTACCAAAGGATCAACCACCGTGCCCCTTCCTTCTTCCTCTGGTCTCACCCAGTTGCTAAGCTGCTGTCGCTTTGCTCAGAGGTCAGTGTGCCAATCCAGTCTTTTTGGTGCGTGATGGTTCAGGTGGCACCTTTCTGAGGCAGCCCTCAGTTGGTTAGTCAGGTTGGGCAGCCCTGAGCTTTGTTTCTTTTCCCCTCCGCGTCTGTTCCTGGGGGTGCAGTGCCTGCAGTGCCGTGCTGCTGCTCACCAAGGGAACATTTCTCCCACACTGTGATTTTCGGGCTCCATGTGTGTGCCCAGATTTGTTATTCAAAGTGTGGGAGTCTCAAAATCAAATGACGGTCACCTAACTTATTATCCCATATCACTTCTGCAGTTCTGGATGGCTTCCCAACTTTCTGTTTGGATGATTCCTGCAAAGGAGGGTTTGTTTTTTATGTGCTTGGGTGTTTTTCCAGGAAAAAAAAAAAAAAGAAACAAAAAACAAACCCTGATTTCCTAAATCCTAACATTTCTGCTTGGGAACTTTTTGGGAGAGGTCGATTTGCAGGAGTCCAGTTCTGGAGAAAAATGACATCTCTCTTCAAGTTTGTGTGCTCTGGGATGAATCCCAGCTCTGAGAGCCTCTCCCTGGAGAGCATTGCATTGACCTGGGTGCAATTAGGGCTCTGCTGTCCGGATCGCAGAAGTGGCAACTCGTGGTGCAAAAGGTTGAGGGGCTTGGAAATCTGGCGGTATTTATCATGCTGAATTATTAGCAAACTGGGCTGGATTGACTTGTTACCAGTTGCTGAGCCTTGTTTCCCCTCTGCAGAGGGAGCAGCGCTGCTGGGCTGGGTGCTGCTCAGGTGGAAGTGGTGTGGGCTTCCCCATGGGAACGGAACCCTTATGGGCTCACAGCAGAGCAGTGCTATGGGGGTCTCAGTTTCTCAGATAAACAGGCAGTTTTTAGTGTTGTTTTTTAACTCATTTATTGAAAAGAAATAATCTATCTTTTTCCTCAGCTCCAGCTGGTGCTGGTATGGGGCTGCTGGTGCGTGCTGTAGACGGAGTTCCTTCTTTTTGACTGGAGCTGAGATGAAGAATTAGTAGTTAAAAGAATAACTACATTTTCCACTGTGATCAAGGAATTAGATAATCTGGCATGTTTGCTTAAGGGGTCTGTATCTTGGGGCTTATATAGGGCAGTATTAAAACCCTGAGCCTTCTTATTATGCCAATACCCAGAAGATTGCTTAATGAGAAGTAAAGGGCCTCTCTCCAATTACGAGGGAATAACTGTATTAAGTTCCTGTGTTATGTCAACCTGCTTTGATTTGATTACTGCAAAAGAAATGGATTTATCTGTCAGTGTTACTTAATTAAGCCTTCTCACTGATGTTTTGCAGAGTAATATAGTGTAGTTTGCACATTTAAGTCTAAATACAAAGAAAATTGGTCGCAAGCTAAGAAACAACCCCTGAAGATAAGGGATAGGAGCCATTGCTTGTCGTTTTCTGACCGGAGTCCAAAACTTCGAACTCTGGTGGAAGAACTTGAGTGCTGTGTGGGCTCAAACGAGAGCAGAGCAGTGGGCAGGAGCAGCCAGCTCCACGGTGATGCATTTCCTGGATCTCTGGAGGGATGCGATCATACAGTCATTAGGGTTGGAAAAGACCTCTGAAGTCATCAAGTCCATCTGCCAGCCCACCCCACCATGCCCACCGACCATCAGCTCCTCTTCCCTGCCCGTCCCGTTCCCTCGGTCTCCCGCAGCACTGTGCTCCATACCCCTCACAGCCTCATTCCCCTCTCTGGACACGCTGCAGCACCTCAGTGTGTTGTGACAGTGCCCTGTGCCCATTGGAAAGGTGGGAGGAACACGCATGGTGCGCCACAAAGGCCATCTGGGCAGGGCTCAGCTCTCTGGGGCATCTGGAGCATTTGGAGGGGGACTGTGGCTGTAAACACAGCTCAGAGTGTTTGCTTAGGTGCCTCGTTAAAGCGCCCCGGGACTTCAGCATCTGCATTCTTGAAATATAAATAAAAATGTCCCACGCAGCAGCCTGAAAAGCTTTATGGTCGCATAAATCCTGCTGCTAGCCCTGACCACGAGCCAGCGTGAGGGGCTGTGACAGCAAGTGTTATTTCAGATTAGGTGGCTTTTACATAAAATAAGCACGCTAATAAATGCAGTTCCTGGTGGGGAGATGCGAGAATAATGCCTCCTTGTTCAGGAAAGCAGAGGTCCTTCCATCAGCGCTGCGCTGCGCATCGTCCTGCTCCTCCTGCAGCACCCAGCCCTGTGGCTCCAGGTCTCCATTCAGTGTCCGTGCGAAGAAGTATGGAGCAGAGGTGTGCAAAACGTTGCGGGTGGTGCCTCGCGTCAGCTTCTCTCCGTCTGCGTTTCCCTCGCTAATTTTTCTGATGGGTTCTGCATGGGTTTTGGAAGCGTGAGGGTGGCACGATGCCCGTCAAAGTCAGTGGGATAATATCCATTGATTTTCAACAGGCGATGGATCAGGGCTCTATAGAGTTAATTGCCTGTTACATAACACAAATGATTTTTAAAAATATGCCTAATTAACCTAATAGAATGGTTGATCTGATCTGTCAGGTAAATGATACACATTTTCTTTCTTTTTCTGGAGCTTAATTAAATATTTACCTAAGAGTGTCTTGTGCTATTATCGCGTTCATCTGTTATTGAGATAATAGGGATTGTAACTGGGAGAAAGTATTAAACTGAACAAACGTCTCGGCTTTTGATACTGGAAATCAACCAGATTTGGTCCCAGCACCCGCGTTTCCAAGTGCTGATGCTGGATTTCTTCTCAGCGAGCGCCTACCAGCCCTGTGGGTCTGGAGGAACCGGTGCCAGGTGGAAGGGCAGCTCCTCTCCTGCGTGGTGTTGGGGGCGCTCAGGACTTGAGCAAAACCAAGCACAGATGTTTTCGGCTTTTTTTGCCTGGCAGAAGGCAAGAAATGGTGCTGAGACGTTGGTGTGCTGCACGAGGATTGTAGAGCCCGTCTCTGGGCTCCACGCGGCGCCGCCAAGATTCAAACCCTGCACCTGAGCACGCTGCCCAGGCACTCGTGGGTGGCGCAGCATCTCCATGAGCTGTGCCCTGTTTTTGGTGAGGGAGCTGTTGTCGCACAGCCGTGGAGTCGCAGAATGTCCCGTGTTGGGAGCTGCCCATAAGGATGGTGGAGAGCAGCTCGTGGCTGCGCTCAGGACCGCCTGCAGGTCAGAGCAGAGCTGTGCTGCAGCTCCCTCCTTGCACCCAGTCGCAGGGCATGCCCATGCTGCCCAGCCCTGCTGCATCATCAGCTGCGCGGGAGGCGTCGGTGTTCAGCCGCAGAGTTCAGAGCAGATGGCAGCAGCGCTGGTCCTTTGGTCCTTATCCCCAGCAGCAGCTTTTGTCACCACGTAGCATCGCAGAGCGGTGCTGTTCTTAAAGACGCCCTCTGAAATGGAGGCAGGAGCCACCTAGATGCCGGTGGTCTTAAATTATTTTGGGGGGCGGGGGGGGGGTCGGCCAATGACTGCAGTAAATTTTGTGTTGATAAAGGGGAAAATAGCGACGTGCTTGCCTTGGGGGATGTGCTTTTCTTGGTGCAAATGCCAGGGCAATTTTTGGAAGTGGGATCCTAGCTGGGGTGGAGAGGAGCTGCTGTGACCCTGGTGCTCCTGAGGCGCCTGTCCCAGCTGGGTCTGTTTCCTGCGTGCTGCTCATCCATGGTGCAGCGCTCGCTGAGCTGCCAGGGCTGCTTTTGCTCAGACCTCGGGGTCCTGAGGGTCCGTCTCATTGCTGCTGTGAATTTAAATGAGTTAATTTAAGCAGTGGGTCAGAAGCCACTACCGTCGTAGTAGCCCCGTGCCTGATTCTTAATTAAAGGCAACAGGAGATTAATTTGAAACATTAATTTAAAAGTGCCTATACAAAAGGAAAGAATTATTGCAATAAAGCCTAAAGAACTTTTTTGTCCCTAGATGTAGAAGACAGAACTAGCTCAGGGTCCTGGGGGAATGCAGGACATCCTAGTCCATCCAGGGTAAGTATATCTAATCTTTTTCCCCAAACCAGACTTCCTGCCTATGTAAATTCACAGTCTTAACTACGAGTCTTACACCTGATTGCATAGAGGAATGGGCATGCAAAGTTGGCTGTAGTTTTGTCTTCCCTTTGAAACCTTTTTTTTTTTTTTTTTTTAATTTTAATATTCATGCCCGATGCTGTGACTGAATCTGGCACCTGCTGCAGATAGCAGGAGTTCCAGTTCTGTCTGGCCGGCGACACGGAGCAGCACTGCGGGTGCTGAGCGCCCTGTGAGCTCTGTTTTGGGTTTCTGCGTGCTGGCACCCCCAAATTGGGCAGCCCCCCTTCCTGGGGGGGAGTCCCAGCCCCGCCATGCACACACTGCTATTTCCTAGCTGGGCAGAAAGTGCCCACGCTCTCACTCATGCTCCCATTTACCCAGTTTGTTTAAATTGCATTTTAATTGTTTTCTAATTAATGCGAAGGATCCAGGCTGGTGCCTGAGCTCCTCCTTCCCCACTGGGCAAATTTCTGGGTGGTGTCCAATGTGAGGGGTCCCCAAACACCCCTGGGGGGACCCAACCCCACACCTTTTCTCCTTCTCCCCCTGCCCAGCATCCGCTGCGTCATCACTGCTCACATCTGTCAGTTTTATTTTTATCCCCTTTTTTCGGGCTTGACACTTGTATTGCTTCCTGGGGAAAAATGTTTTGAAAAGTAAATTCGAAATTTGCACACACCATTATTTATGCATGCAAAAACTTGAATGTGAGCTTACAATTACGTTCTGGGATGTAAAGAAAAGAGCGTGAGCCTGGGGAGAGTTGTGGAGTTTCAATCAGGCCGCACGTGGGCTCACACACAGCCTGACCTCGCCAGTTCCTCTTTGTGAAGCAGGGCTGGCGTTTCCACGGCAGGAAAATGGGTTTCTTGTGCCTGCCTCTGAGCCCGAGGAGCAGAACACGGCTTGCAGTTTGCAGCAGATAAGGCTGAGCTGCTCGGAGGGGGCAGAGGGCTGTGCTGAGTGCGCAAGTGCTGAGCCCCAAAGCACTGCTTGTGTGCACAGACACTGAGCCCAGGAGGGGCTGCTTCCTGGACTCATAGAATCCTAGAATGGCCTGGGTTGCAAAGGAGCACAGCGCTCATCAGTTCCAACCCCCTGCTACGTACCAACAGCAGCCCAGGCTGCCCAGAGCCACATCCAGCCTGGCCTTGAATGCCTGCAGGGATGGGGCATCCACAGCCTCCTTGGGCAACCTGTGCCAGTGCCTCACCGCCCTGTGAGTGAAAAACTTCCTCCTGATATCCAACCTAAGCCTCCCCTTCTCAGTTTAAGGCCATTCCCCTTGTGCTGTCCCTGCCCACCCTCGCAAACAGCCGTTCTCCCTCCTGCACATGCCCTTGGAGTGCTGGAAGGCCACAGCCAGGTCTCCCCACAGCTTTCTCTTCTCAGCGTTGTGCCACTTTGCACACCCACAACATGCGGTCGTATGTACGTAGCAGTGAGGTGCTTAGGACAGCAAGTTCCTACGTCAGAATCAAACTGAGAAGCAGAACGTTGAATAAATGCCTAATTCCTGCTCATGCTTGTGCTGTGGGCAAGAAGGCAGTGTGCTCAGGGAGGGCCGCTGCAGGACGGCACAGCGCAGGAGCCTCTTCTCTTTTGCCTGCTCAGGATTACACGAGAGCAAACCAAAGTCAATTACTAATGAAATAAAAATTGGAAACAGCTTTAAAAATGCTCTGTGACGCATCACTTTCCGCGGAATAGATAAACAGCAAGAGGCGAAGTAATCTGTGTGGCCGACTTGAAGCGTAGGAGGGAAGCGTGGACCTGTAGGTTTTGAGAAATGCCATTAAAATGTGTAAAATTGTGTTTTTCTCCCCAGAACTATGGAGATGGGACTCACTATGATCATATGGCGAGCAGAGACCTCGGGTCACATGACAATCTCTCTCCTCCATTTGTCAATTCCAGAATACAAAGTAAGACACCGAATTTCCTGATTTGACTCCGCTGTTGAGATAAGTGAATGGTTTTGGAAGTGCTGAGCTCAGAGGAAAGCTCCGAGGGCGTAAAATCCCTCGTCCTCATTTCTGGGGCTGCTTGTGCAAAGGGTGGGAACGCGGGTTTGTTTTTTTCGGCCGCAACGCCGTTTCAGAACGTTCAGGAGTTCCGTTTACTGACCAGGGCTGTTTTTTTCCTCAGCGAGGGGGATGTGGGTTTTGATGTGGTGACTGCAGCGTTGCTGGAGGAGGTGCACGTACGTGTCCTAAGGCAAAGCCTTTCCTTTCTGGAGATGCGACCAGCTGGCAGCGGAAATCAGGACGTGCTCTGAGCGGGACTGAGCAGAATAGAAAGGGCTTTCTGAAAGTATTCCGACTGTACGTTCACAAAAGGAAAGGGATCAATGGCAGTGGGGGGACACTGGAGCCTTTGTTTGCTTTGGAGCGCGCTGGGTGCTGCCTGCTGGGACCTGTGCGCAGCCTCCCGCCGCTGGGATGCTGGGAGCAGCAGGTCTGCTCTGCCCGCGGCGCTGCCCCTCTCCCTCGTCACCCCCTGCGATAGAAATCTGTGACGCCCCTGCATCCCGTTCGGCGGGGCTGCAGTTGCTTGTAAGCCAGTGATAGCGACTTTTTTTTTTTAATTACGGCTGATAAATGAGTTCGGTTAAAGTAAATATATGATGTAAAAATATTAGTAATGTTTGCGCCCGGCCAGGATCACACCCTTCTTCTGCGGCTGTCAGTGAACGAACCGAATGCGTTGCTATAAAGGGTTGAGTGCGAGCCAAAGAAAACATGGGGCTGTAACTGCGATACATCATTCTTCAGCTCCAATATACGTCCCTGAAATATGCCTCGTCTTTTAATACTGGGAAATATTAGTGAGTTGTTTAACATATGGGGCAGTGTTGGAGCTTGTAGTCGTTTGTACGTACTCACATCCACGACATGGTTACAACAGTTTTAGAGGCTCCGATACGTGCCAAAAAAAGCATGGAAATTTCAACACTCCCTTCTTAACTCACGCCATGGGGCTTTAGGTGGTGCACAAAGGCACTTCACAAACAGCCATGCACTTCTGTGCAACCCACTGGGCCGTGGGGCGCTTTCAAGTTTAACCTTTAATTTGGATCTGAAGAACTTAAAAGTCGCTTCTGCCTGCCCTTGGGTTACAGAAAAACCTCATTCCTGCCTGATTGTTTTTGCTCAGTGAAAATACTGGTTTCGCCTGATTGAAGAAATAGTTGTTTTCTAGAGGTGCGTTCAGAGTCAGAGGGAATTCGGACCCTGGGGATTCCAGTGACAAATTCTGGATCCTCACTGTTGCTTGGAAGTCCCGTTGGTCTCCAGCAGAGTGGTTTGCGTGGCCTCTGCTCACCTGGAGGTGGACTCTGTGCTGGAGGTGTCTCCTGCAGCCCTTGTGTCAGCCGGGATCGTGTTGGTGGCCTGCTGGTGCGTCTTCCTGAGGCACCTTTATTTTTGCCTGTTGATGCAGTCTGGAATTTTGGGCTGGCAGTATGGCCGGCAACGCTCTGCTCACACCAGCTGTTATATGTGCAAGCCTGTGTGACTGAAAAGGAGCCTGTGTGCTGCCGGGACTGCTGCCTGCCTCCTGCAACCCACAGCCACGGCTCAGCCTGCCTCTCCAGCAGTTGGGTGCCCTGCTCCTCATCTGTCCGGATGGGCAGCAGAGCTGGTGGGGCTGTGCTGTGGGTGCCGTGGTGCTGCTGCTGTGTTCTTGGATGCAGGATGTCGGTACTGGAGGAGCTGGGGACACAGGGCTGTGTGGATGTTTTCCTCCCATGGAAACGCTGTGGGGAAGCTCAGCTCCATTTCTACTGTTTGAGACTAGACCACGGACCACGAGTGCTGCTGATGGGGTGGCTGATGCTCATGAAGTGCTGCCTTGACAGAGACGTCTACAAAATCATGCTGATCACGCCTGCATTGGTGACTTGGGAAGGATTCTGAACATTGCTGCCACGAAGATGCACGTTGCACCTTAATGAGGGCGTCCTGACCCCCAGCTGCCATTTTTCCAGATATGTTGTGTTACTGCTCCATTCCTGTCCCCAGCACCACGGGTGCTGCGTGGACTGTGCCTGCAGAGGTGGGCTGTGCAGTTCACTTCATGCTCTTCCTCTTGGCAGCTGATGAAGAGCCTCTGATTATCACCTGCCCCGACTCGGTCTGGTGCTGTTGTGTGCTGCTGCCTTCCATGGAGCTGCTCCTGAGAGGGAAGCAGCAGCCGAGGGAGGGCCTGGCTTTATTGCTTTTAAATAGCACGATCGATGCATTGATTAAACACATCTGGCTTGTCTTTGCGAGTAAGTATTTATTATTGCTAATGCTGAATCAGAAGCAGGCTAGATAGCTGTGGGATTAATGTTAAGTTTTACAGAAAGCACTAAAAGGCAGCTCATTGGATTTCACGTGCTGCTTCTATCCATGTGCTGCTTTTAGAGAAGGCGGTTGGCCCCAGCGCTGTGCTGAGAACATTTGTCTGGGCTTCTCTCTGCGCTGATTTGTGCTCGTGTCGGGGGCTGAGCACATGCTGGCCTGCAGCAGAAAGCCCTGGAGCCCCATGCACTGCTGGGCTGCAGCTGCGGCCCTGCAGAGCGGCTGCTGGTGGAGGCCATGTCCTGCGGACAGGCTGTGCCCACCTGAGGGCTTATGTTGTGTTTTAGTTATTTTTGAGATGGACTTTCCTGCAGGGCAGCAGAAGTCACCGTGCTGCTTGCATGGTGCTCAGTTCCTCAGGCTCCTCCTGGAACTGTTGTGCGTTTGAACACTGCTCACCGTGCGTGCTCCTGAAGCCCAGGTGTTCTGTGGGTGTTTTTATGTGCTTGGGAGTAACCACAGAGTGCTTCCTTGGCCTGAAAAGAGCAGTGTTGCATGGGGCAGTGGCTACGCTTGACCCAGCACTGGTTCTCCTCCCTCCCCATTTCCACATACTCCCTTGCTGAGCATTTTCTGTCATCTTGCATCAGACACCTTACTGGCACGTGAGGCTACGTTCCAGTGCTCTGTAACTTGTTTCCAGCTGCCTGTAGCTTAGCGGAGCACTTTGCTGCAGGGGTCAGATGGAGGCTTCAGGTGCTGTGGGAGAGCTGCTGGCATGCAGAGTGACCTGAGTCCCCTGGGCTGGAGGCTGGAGGCTAGAGGCTGGGTTGGTGTCTGTGCTGTGGCAGCTGCTGGCTCGCTGAGCTCAGCTGTGCACACAGGGATGTGCTATGGGGCAGTCCTGGCTGCCGCAGTCTGAGGATGGGGAGCACTCAGCCTGGGAGAGAGCTTGCCCTGACACAAGTGGAGCATCGCACAAATAGGAACAGGGGAGAGTAAAGTGTAAATGCCTTCTTATTCTGCAGCGTGGAGCCTGAAGCCGGCGTGCTTCTCCCTTCCAGCTGCAGGACTTGTGGTGCTCGTAGCGGTGTGATGCGATACCGAAGTCCTGCCCTGCCTGCTGCCTGCGGTGCTGGAGGCGGCTGTTGAGGCGCTGCTTTGAGCCTTGGGAGGATGTGGCTCAGTGGGGATGGATTGGCAGCTGGACTGGAGGATCTCCGAGGTCTCTTCCAACATTTGTGATTCTCAGATTCTTTAAGAATGCGTACTGTTTGATTTCAGTAGGAGCTGGCTGGTGATGTAGTATGCAAAGACAAGCCTGTTTCTATTGCTAAGCATGAAGTGAGGAATGGATGCAGTGACTTGGGCTTTCTTCCCTCCTAATTGCTGCCTCAAATCGGCTTAGCCCTGCTGGGGCTGGAGGCTGGGAGCCGGCAGTCCGGCGGCACGGCTGCGCTGCTGGTGGACGGTGTTGGAAGGAGCCTTTCTATTTATCTGAAGAATGCGTGCCGTGTGTTTTGTGAGGATATTGTAAGGTTTGATAAATTACTGTCTGGAAAACATCCTGAGTTCCTTGGATACTCCGTGTACATGCCAAATTTTAATATTATTTTTAATGCTGTGATAGCGCTCGTCTCCGTATGAATATTGCTGCGGTATTTGCTTTTAATCTGTTCGGCCTTGATTCAGTTACTGTTATTATAAGAACTGGAATTTTTGCAGATTAGTTAAGTTTACCCAACACGGCATTATAAGGCCTTGCTTTCAATTGCTAAACTATAAACATTAGGGATGAAATTTTCCATGCTGTGTATCTGACTCAGCCCGATTATTATTTTTTTAACCTTCTGCAGAAATGATTTCAAGATTTCCTAAAACGAGGTTACATTTCATCCTGGCAGATTTTTGATTTTCTCAGTTAGCGCCTGGCACGTCGGGAGCTTTAATTCTTTTTTTGCACCGTTCCTGTTGTGTCAGGTGGCTTCAGGTCCTCGTTTGCAGCTGGAGGGGTGGGGGTACAAGGAGGACAATGTCAGAAAGTGTCCCAGCAGTTTTCAGTGCGGAAGGTTTTGATGGTCTCTCCGTTGTGCTGCTTGCCTTTGGCCGTCGCAGCGTGGGCACACATGCTCAGCAGTCGCTTGTTTGTCCGTAGCGCTGCTGTTCCCTCGGTGCTGTGCAGTTGGTTGGTGCTGCGGATGGGGTGTGGGTCAGAGGAGCCTGACAGCCCGCGGTGGGAAGGAATTGAGACGTGACTATTAGACGCGCCAGAAATAAATTCCATATGACATACGGGAAGAAGCACGGGACGTTTTTCTGAATAGCAGTCAAAGATGAATTTTCAGGAATCACAAGAAACCCGTTCTCCAGAAAAATCTGCAGCCGTCCGTCTGGCGGTAGCGCCGACTGAGGTGACTTGCGGCAGCAGCAAGTCTGAATCCTGTAACTGTAAAGGTCAGGAGAAGCCTTCAGAAACCAAAGGACCGGAAATCCGAGGCTCCGGTTTCTGTTTAAAGAGCTGTGCTGGTGCAGCGAGGAACCTGCGGGTGCGATGCGACCCCACAGCTCAGGTATGTGGGTGCCCAGTCCCCAGAGGAAACCGGAGTGGCCCTACAGGAAGGTCTTTGACGTGGTCCGGT